TGTCATTTTGACAAATTGACAAATTAAATGCAGTAAAGGTTTGTCATACTGCCGAGGTAACAACCCTAGCTAACACATGTATTTCTCGTTCTTTGCAATTCACGATTCATGCTCATTCTAAATTTTTGAAATGAGGGAAAAACTTACAAGTTTCTCTAAATAACAACAAAACTAACTGGGCATCACAGAGAAGCTGTAGTGGGTGGTTACGCTGCAGCAGCTAGCATTCAGGCTAAAAACAGTGAAATGAGTGTGGATGTGTTTATTGAACAGGTGTGTGGAAGGTGAGAGTGCCCCCTACAGTGAAAAAAAAAGATTACTTAGAGAGTGTTAATGCGATTGGCCTGAACCGTTCACATTTACAGTTCATATTCTCCATTTAAATGTCAAGTCAACTATAATAATATAAGAGAAAATGATGTTTGTCGTTAGAAATAAATGATAACAACAATCATCAATTATTGGTACTGATACTCCATATTGTATATATCAACACACTATACTCTCTCCAGTATTTCTATGTGTTATCATTAGAAGCAGGATGTCGCTGTAAATAATAACATATAAAGATCATAATTCATTGCTTGGATACACACTTCTAAACACTGCATTTAGGCTGTGAAAAAAAGAAAAAAAGCTCAAGTTTGATTAAACAGATGTTAAAATGATAGCTGGGTCCACCAGAGTTGCACTGCAACCTTATATGGACACACCTCAGGTTCTAAGAATAGCTCCTTCTTCATGAAGGCACAGGAAACCAAAACACACACACACACACACACACAATGCCGTGGCTACAGGGGAGGTAGAATCTGCTAAAACAGTATGTGGTGTCCAAATGGAGAGTTCAGATTTCAAGTGTGAGGAGTAAAAAAAATCGATGTAAACAGAGAGCAGGGCAGGGACGAAGAAAACAGGATGGATGCAAAAGAGGAGAAAGTGAGAGAAACACATAACTCATGTGTATTGAGCTTGGCAGTAACCCTGGGGAAATTTAATAGCGCAGCAGAGTTACTTTGCTGCCTTGATTTGATGAATATTCATGTTTAGCGCAGAGAGGAAGAGAGAGTGAGGCTGCTTCACGGCATAACTCTGCTGTGTAGCTGCTACAGTTGATACTGTATCACAGGTTGTTGCTGAGCAAGATTTTCTTTTTCTCGCCCGAGAAGCCAATGACTGACGTAGATTATTGTTAATTTTCCTAAAAGATTTAAATCACATTACAAAGCCTGAATGATGCCTGTGGTGATAACGCTCAGTGCTGCGATTAGTCATCCCGTCTCTGTACAAACAGGGTCACTAATGTCCATCCATCACAGCGTGTCCTGTGGCTGGAGCTAACAGGCCGAGTACCTAAGATGGATGGATGCCTGAAGCACACGAGATGACACCAAACCACGACTGAACAAGTGTCCATTTACATTTCCGGCCACCGTGCCACGGTCTGCGGACTCTCACTCCTGCTGCTCCTCAGAAGGACGGACACAGCCACAGGTCTAATAAAGTCAGCAGAACTGCACCATCTATAAAGACAAAGACTTGCTCTGCCAAAGCCACTGCGGACTAGCTGCACTGGCACGTACAGCGAGGTGCCGCAGGCTGCAGCCCCTCCACCCTCCACCCCCCTCTGTCACAGTGTCGGCGTCCACTGAGATGGCTGAGACACACGGCACGAGACACGGTTTTGTGCCGTGAGCCGATGAAATCTGAACCTTCTCATCAGCACGATGTAAATGACATGCAAGCTTTGCTGTAACTGAATGGATTCAGGGAGCAAAACAAGTGAGCTTGTTTCAGAAACATCGGTCCTCTCCTCCGATTTGATGTGACACCTTCAATTTTATTAGCGTTTTAAGCCATTTGTGTCAAACCCAAGGCCTGGGGACCTATTCTGGCCCACCATATCTTTTATATGGTCCACCAGAGTAGAGCTTGGTGTGGTTGTCTTAACACTCTATGGTATAGAGTTTATTGTTAACTGGTTAATTGAGGTGGACAAATGTGGTGCGTGATTACCATGTGTATGGCTAATTAATCACTATTCAAATTTCTCTTATTCTGATTCTAATCACGTGTACATTTATTTATGTTTACCATAAACTACGTCACTTTTAATGCACCTTAATATCGTGATCTGCCACCTTGGAAATTATTAGACTCTTCACTAAAGTAATATCGTGATCTGCCACCTTGGAAATGACTAGACTCTTCACTAAAGCAATCTTTGTCCCAACTTAGACTTGTGGGTAATTTCGGCCCCTTGAGTGAATGAGTTTTTGACCTATGCTTTATCAGTGTCTTCTAAACACTTTCTTCCACTTTGCCATCTGTATCATGACCAGTTCAAACCCTGCCCCCGCCCCTCACGTTAAGTACCGACAATCATCTAGCCATTTCAGTATAGTCTTTTTTCAAGTTTTGTTCAGGATTTTTATTTCTTCTTTTTTAATTTTATTTAACACAATGTCTTATTTATGTAAATGTACTTCTGCAATAAATACATTCAGATACATACAATTATAGCAAATATAAGCTTTGTGTTGAAAAAGTTTTTCTATTTGTTTTCTACCTTCTAGCTGTCTGACCAAGCATCGATTCTTAAATCTTTCAGGCGGCTTCCAGCCTCCTTTCCTCTGCTGTGGGTCAGACATGGAGTTTCCAGAAGACTTTCTCCTGGCGGAGCTGGACCACCTGCAGCTCCTCAATGACTCACTCTTCCAGAACAACTTCACAGGGGGCTACAACGAGACAATCGACCTACTCCCGACTGGGGTGAAGGTCACGATCGTGGTCGTCTACATGATCGTTTGTGTCATTGGCCTGGTGGGAAACTTCCTGGTCATGTATGTCATCATAAGGTAAGACATTCAATTAATGATATGAATGATAACAAAACGGGTCTCGTGCACAGCAAAACCTACATTAAGAGTCAGTGTGAACTAAAGTGTATTCATGCACTTTAACTACTGCAGGATCAAATACCATTATTATTATTAATAACGGAACCAATTCAGGATTGAGTTTAAAAAAAAATTATATTTTAAATACTGTCGTATATCGTCATAATTAACAGGTACACTCCATTGTTTGTCGATAAGTCGACCATCGTTTTCCTACTGACCAGGGCTACATCAAAGGTGAAACGCTAACAGAGGCTGCAGCGTGAACTCTTGTCGTTGTCTCAGCCCAGCTGAATAGACATATTCATTTAGAGCCCTACAGTCAACTGTCTGGTCATGTGTGGGTCATGTGTAGGCCCTACTTAATTAAAACAAACACTAGTAGCGAACATGTGAGTGACACGTCTGTGAACATGGTTCAGATTTGGGCCAGTGTTAACTAATGAACAGCTGTCGTCAGGGGACGATGTACAGTTATCTGCTGGACCTTCCCAGTGGTGACGTCCCCCGGTCTGTCTCGCCACTTTAACGTCTAGTCTGCTTTAAGGATGATGCTTCTCTAAGGACTCATTATAAGCTATTGTTTAGTAAACAAAACCTCGCCTGAAGCTCCTGCCAAATAGCCTTCCCATTGCTCAGTCTGCTTGGAGAAACGACTTCATGGAGCTGTTGTTAGGTTCACTAGTCTCAAGACAAAACAGACATCACGCTGCTCCAACAGAGCTGTTGCAACACATGACTGTCGGCTGTGTAATTATTCTTTCAGACTCTCAGACTGAGGGACAGCAAATGTTGTCCAGCGTCTTTCTCTACTGTTCACTAAAACACTCGGGAATAATACGAATCACACGAGGACAACGTTGGAGAGGGGAAACACGTTAGTGCGGAAAAACAACTTAATTTGTTAAATAATCTCTGATTCTGTCTCGATTCAGTGAACCCACGTTGCCACATTTATACTAAAAATGACAAATGAAATAAGGTGGTTTGTCCAAATGTTGTGAGTAGTTTTTTGATTTTTTATAACCAAAGTTTGACAAAGATTCAGATTCAGAAACAGCTAAATCATCATGTCCATCTTGTCATGTCATTTCCATTAGTTAATCAGGTTTAAATATATAGATATTTTTAGATTTGTCTTATTATTATTACAATTCTCATTGGATGTTTTTTTTTTACACAGCGATAGTGAGATTTTATGTAACACTGTTAAAAGGCTGTGCAGAAAAACCTACACTGAAGCTTTTACCTTGATTACATCTGGAGCTCTCTCTCTCTCTCTCTCTCTCTCTCTCTGTCTCTCTCTGTCCGTCTCTCCCACGCTGTCTCTCAATCTCTCTCTCAAACACACACACACACACACACATATCCCCACACACACACACACAGGTGTTGGATCTTCAGCTAATCGGTGTCAGCACTCCGCTGTTATCCTCGGTAAAAATGGCGTCCTTCTGACAACCAGCTCTTATTAAGAATGTCAGAAGGCAGCCGGCCCTTTTATGTGACAGCGTCAGGTTGGATAAAAGGGCTGATTGCACAAGATGGTCGACCACAATATTTGCCATATAACTAAACGAGGCTGAACAAAGTGCACAGCTCTCCTTGGCCTTTTAATCCACGACAAAGGCTCGGCGGTCCATTTTTCAAATAGCGTGGGACAGATTTCCGACATGGCTTCTGAGCATTACCGATATTTTATGACGGCTTCAAGGTCAAGCTACATAAAGGCAAAGAAAATGTTCTGCTGACGGGTTCCAGGAAAAACACTGAATGGAATAAAATGGTAGAAATTTGGAGGTCGACTTTGTGAAGGTTAGGAGTCTGTTATTTTGGACCTGGCAGTATTTAGTTTTAAGAGTGATGGAATGAAGATGGAACCGTTGACTTTGGTGGAAACACGGGGAAAACAAAGTTAGGAAGATGATGTTGAAGTCACTCCTGAATTCCATAATTCCATCAGACACTGTAGGTGTTGGGCTCTGGCCCATACACAACAACCAGGAATGGGAATTATTGCTTTATTTCAGACAATGTTGTGTCTCAGACTTATTCATTGCTAATTAGTTAGAGCAGTGCTTAAGAAATATGTCATTATTTAAAAGACCAACCCCATTGGATTCCAGCTTGAGTTTCAGTAAAGTTAATGGAATTGTAATCACCTTACTTTCTATTCAAGAGGAACGCAATCGTTGAAAGAGCTCAGTTACTGTTGTAATTAGTTACCTGAACGACAAAAGAGAAAATAGTGAGAATAAGAAATGTTAAGGACTCTGGAGAACCAGGTTTAATATCAAGAGGCAAAAGAAAAGTCCTGCTCATTATCTTGCAGCATTTGGAGAGTGACATTTAACAGTACTTAATGCCATTTCACTTTCTCTGTCTTCCTGTCTCAGATTGATAGGGTGTAACTGTGAGGTTTACGACAAATCCCATCAGTCAAGCACACGTTCTCTAAATGCAGCGACTGGTTTGAATACCAAAATTGGTGATTTCAGGTTATTTTATGCTTTTCACTGCTCCTGGGTTGTTTTTTGTTAGCAAAATTATACTGTGGTTGACCAGGAAGCAATTCTTCATTTGTCCTGTGTACAATGACTTTCAAATGAATCAATAATTCCATCATTTGATTTATCACCAATAGAAACAGGTATGAAATACAAACATCTACCTGCTGTTATTTGTCTTTCTGTTTTGTGGCGACGAAAAGCTCATAGTTAAGAGTGTTGACTTATCTGTATTAATTATAATGAATACGTTACCATCATGACGATGGTTAGTCATTATTAATCCACAGCTATGCTTTGTTAAGTCAGATTACATTTTTTGTCAGCCCTAGTTTTTTGTATTTTCTCTTTATCATTGTGGCTGTGATTTACGCCGGCTTCCTGCTGTTCTCTAGGGGTAAGAGATCATATGATTTCTGTTATGTATTATTCCCCCTGCTGAGTGTATGTTTTTTTAGCTGAGAAACTCTTCATGGAATATCTTAGAAGTTGAGCTATACGTTGCTAAAGCCCTAATGTAGATCCGTCTGTTGTCATGGAAACACAACAGTTATTCTCCAGAAAAATCTCTCCAGACAGCATTAATTTACTCACAAAAACAACAGAAAAAAAAAAAGCTCCTTGGACCGAGCAGCTCCGTGTTGCCTCTGTGTCAGTCTTCCATTCTCTCCTCTCTCACGGCTCCTGAATTCATCAGAGTTGTTTTCCCCGTGGTCTACTTTATGCTTTTCGAGCCTCTGGCGATAAACAGATGCTGATACACGCTCCCGCCCCCCCCCCACAACACCTCCCCAGCCTATGGCTGTTGTTGTTGTTGTTGTTATTGCAATAGGTTGCAAACGCACCTGCACTGCAGTGCTCAGCTCAGAAGTTGAAACTATTTTTTTTTTCTTCGTTTTTCTCTGACAGCAGCAAGAGCTAAAGACAAGCCTAGTTTTCAGTGGCATCAATATTGTGTGCGGCAGGAAACAAAAGGCAACAGGACTCTGGGAAACACATTTTGCTCACAGACATTCAAGTTAAACTAACACAGTAGGATGAGAACTTCAATGACAAGATACTAACAAACTATAAACTACACGTTTAAAAAAGACCATCTGAACAAAAACCAGACTCCGGAACAACAAAACAAGCTCTGACAAACAGACAAGAGCAGACAAGGGCTGAGAATGAGATACAACGAGCAAATAGGCCGAGGGAGCGTGAACAGAGTGCAGAACATGAACAGGGAGAAAAACAACACCAGCATTGAAAGGTTCAAAAGAGGAGGACGATAAGATCTTCCATACTACAGATTCAGACGAGGAGGAGGAGGAGAAGTCCTTTAGGAGCAGTGCCACGTCTGAGCAGCCGTCGTCATAAATCTAGAACCCAAGTATCCCATCAAACATCGATGCAGGAGGATAGTAAATGAGCTTTAAAAGCCTCATAATGTATACAGCCCACTAGTATGAAGTCACCCAAAGTCCGACTGTTTGTATAATCAGATCGTGTGCTAAACACAGTTGGAGTCATTAATAATTCTTAATTTTTTTTTCTATCGCTAAAAAAACACAGTGATGTTATGTTGTTGAACAGTAAAGAAGTATCGTTCCCTTCTCAAGATTTCTTATCCAAAGATACCCAGGGGGTTCGCAACTAATCTGGGAATTCTGTTCCCACAGTACACACCCACTGGTACCTTTGTCACTCACCTACAGTAACACAGTGGTAACATCATAATTAAGGACATAAAAGACATCAAAGGAGTGGGACTTATTCTTGGGAACCTTAATGAAGGAAAAACAACACAACAAAAGAAAGCAGACGTAACACAATCCACGTACAGAGCTACGCCACTGCCCAACTCGTTCCTAGCTGTTTGAATGATAGAAGAGAACTTTCTTAATACATTTATGGGACTGTGTACCAGTATATGAATAGATAATGTATACACAGTAAACAACTAATTATCCTATATAATGTGGCTTTTGTTCCTCCCCTGACAGTTCTTTTTTATGACATGTTGTAACAGTCTGTAGACATGATGTCTGTAAAACCCACAGGCAGCACTCTCATTAGCACAGACAGGTCAGTGTCTGTCAGTTATTACTATCTGATTTTACGCAGGTCAGACTTTTGGCGCCGCGGCGTCTAACTAGGTTTGGACTGAACCGAGTTCCACAGTTTTCTGTGTCACTGCGCTGAACAGATTACTGGTTTGAGAGCTAATTTAAGAAAAGAGATCCTCCTGTAAAGGATTGCTGGTGCGGAGCTGTTGTGCCTGGCACACATGCACATGCACATGCACATGCACACGCACATGCACATGCACATGCACACCTACAACAACCAAAACTACTAAAAGCCCAAATGCACAGAAGCATGACGAGAAGAATCCCCTTTAAAACCTGATGGAGATTCTCCAGCAGATAATTGGTTCTTCTTACCATGTGAGGCCCAGACCAGACC